ACTTATTGTTATCATCAACCCTCATGATGACAATAAGTTGAAAATGTTTGGTTTTATAGTCTGCAATTTTTCTGGTTATTGGCCTTGTACAAACAAAATGTGCATGTACAAACTTTTACCTCTTTTAGTGCATTATGTAGAACAAATTTTACTGTTCTTTCTGTATTACAACTGTTACTCACAATGACGTCTCTGTAAGCAAATTATCAAATAAATTCAGTTTCTAAGAAGAATAAATGTGATAATCAATTTATAAACCCTCTCGAACACATGTATGTGCACACATACCACTTTTTCCCACCCAACCTCCTCAATCTACCTCCTCCCTGTTCTGCACTCACTAGATGCCAGTTTCTAGTGAATGGAAAGCCTCCGGCCAGCTAAGCGAGATACTTGTAGATTCATGATTTTTCTATCCAAAAGCTTTTCTTTTTTGGTCACACTGGGTAACATCAAAAGGTGCACTCACAGCCAAAGGCTGAGCCATTTGCTAACCAATATACCTGCCAATCTGACAGTATTGTGTTACTGAGTCTTGAATTCCTTTAGTGATTAATTTGTTAATTGAAAAACTGTTATACCATACCTATTAAGTAGCTGCCTAACCTTAATTGATGACCTCATAGAGAAAGAGATTATTGACAGTAAGATGGAAATTAAACATAGTGCCATTAACTTACCCACGTTCCGGAAATGTAGGTAACTCATCTGAGATCAGCTCTCCAACATAATACTTTTCCAAGACCCTAATCGAGACAAAAGGTACAGTTGTGTGTTAAAGGTTTATAGCTACCATCCTTCGTGAGCATAGAAGACTTATATGAACTTGTTCTTCCTGCAGAACATTAGATCAACGATGGGGTTAATTGGTTGGCACAGTGACAGAATGTGGTGTCCACTAGCTACATGTACATTACACAGTTCATTTTTCTGGCTAGAGAGAGAGGCATAAATAGAAGGCAGGGCTGTTGTAAAGCTCTTGTCATGACCCCTTGAACATAAGGGTACCACAACTCATACATTTAAAAGTGAAAGGGGAAGCACAGCAGAGGAGAGCTGGAGTGGCAGGAGGAAGGATGAAATGGGAAAAGGGGGAAGAGCAGTAGAAGGCTGGATGGAAAGGAGGCTGTTGGGTGAGGGAGGGGTGGAAAGATGACGACAGATGAGGGAGAGGGGGTAGGTAACAGAGAGCAGATAGAAAGAGAGAGGGGGAAGGTGGGGTGATAGAGAGAAGAAAGAAGGGAAAGACCAGGAAAGGTGGAAAAGGAGGGAGCAGGAGAGGGAGAAAAAAGATTGGGGTGGGGAGGGCTGAGAGTGACACAAAGGAGAGGAAAGGGGAATGAGAAAGAGAAGAGGGACTTTATACAGAGGCTGGGCTAACAAAATTATTATTCCTACATTTCTTATGGATCACAAGTTAGAAATTCATATAAGCCTGTAGTCCTTCTGCTTTCCTGACCCTTTCATTCTCACCTAACCTAAAAGCATCTCACCTCAATGTAGAGAGCAATTTAACAATAGTCTTGATTTCATTGGCTGGAGTGGACAATTATATTTTCATTGCACCAGCATGAGCTTGTTTCATAGGCCAGCTCAATAATGTTGCTGCTATTTTCTGAATAACTGAGACCCTAGCTAAGCAATGACTATCTGAAACACAGATAAGCAATGACTATCTGTCTGTCTGTCTGTCTGTCTGTCTGTCTGTCTGTCTGTCTGTCTCTCACTTCTGAAGTTAACTTTCTGACTAGCAGATTCAATGTCAGCCTGCAAGCAAGATAATTCTTGTGAGTGGCAAAGTTGCTTGGACAAGTCAGCGAGCAAAGGCAGCATTCTAGCACTGTGAGTATCTGAGGAAATGTGTGCCTGCTCGCAGGTAATTACCTGGGAGGCCAGCTGACTGCCTACCATGATTGACTGACTGACTGACTGACTGACGGCATGCATGCATGTGCAAGAGTGTGTGGTCACATGGGATAAATGTGAATGATAGAATAATGAACCATGGAAACTAGTGCAGAATGAAAAGATGACTCAAAGATCATTAGTTTTGACTAATCTTTTGATTTCAATTTTGTAGTTTAAATTTTCGCCAAGCTATTTAGACTTATCCACACAACTTTACTTGCTTATAAAATAGATTTAAGTATTAAACGTACATTCCTGCAAAAATACCCTGAGAACTGCAGTATCTTGTTCATACACGTAACTCAGACGATGTCATTATGTAACCCTCTTTTCAGCCTTTCTTTATTACTTGCTATAATTGTATTTTTGGGCTCTGATGGCCTTTTAGAATCCCACGTTTTAGCTCTCAAACAGATAAATAATTGCATAACTATGATTAAACTATTTGTAAAAATGCTTCACATACGGACAGGTAAGCTGATCACCGTCAGGGAGGTCAAAATACAAAATTTACTCTTCGACGAGTTCAAGTCTTTAGACTTGAAACTAAGCTTACTTTTGTACTGAATCACTAAAAGCGTGGTACGTCTCGAACACAATCGTCACGTCTCTCCCTGCACCCATCAGCAGCATATCTTTACCACCTGGATGACGGTTGAGGAATTTACTAACATCGTACACCTAAAAAAGAAAAATAAATAAGGTCAACAACATGGATCATGATCGCTGCCGATCAAAACTGGCGCGTAAATTCTAAACTCAAGCCTTACCTTTCCTCGAACCGCCACGTGAGCATTGTCTTCCTTGTTCAGAAGACTAAGTTCTTCCCAAGTAAATTGCCTTTTCTTTTCCATGCTAGAATTTGGGACCGCAAAAGCCAAGACTTAGTGAGTTTCTCTTCTGTATGTAACTTTGTTACCAGCCCATAGTCTTTACCCGGTCAGATGCCGGCTTCCTGCTGATTGGTAGTCTCGCTCTCCTGAGCACGTGTTGAAGCTGTGCTGGAGGTCATTCAAGGAGACTGAGAAAAGCTGCACATGAGATGAAATTTTCCGTTTACTTTCTTTATCACCTCTTTTAAACAGCTACGTGCGAGTTAAAAATCAATTCATACTTCTATTTTATTCTCAAAGTCTTCATAAATGGCAGCATTTGCACACCCAAAATTAAATTCCGATCGCGGACTTTTCGGCGTTTAATCCTTGAAGAATGCAAAAGCAAAACCCGACGCGTACGTAGGATGATTTTTTGAAGGTGTACTATATTTCGGCTGGCCAAACCAGCCTTCTCCAGGTACAATGAAAATTTTACATTGGGACGTGTTTTTATGTAGCCGATATTTACGTAATACCGGAAATACGTAAAAGTAATTGACAGTGTAAATTAAAGATAAGCCTACGGTAAAATAAAATAACATGATGAAAGAACATAATAAAACAATTGTATGTTATTAAATGGAAACGATTAATATATTTCTTCGCGGATGTTCAGAGCATCAGGATCAATTGTTCTGCCTTTTTGAATTAAAAAAAGTTTCCCTGGCCTTACGGATAGAGTCTCGGTTCGAAAAGATTTTTTCGATGGGGATTAATTGCA